ACTAACAAAACTAGAAAAGCCAGAAGCATCAATATTTAGCCAGGCCTCCCAGGTGTCATCTTCTCCTGTGAAAAGGGCATGCAGGCCCTGCATTTTCAACACCAAAATACAATAATGCAACAGATATTGGTAATAAAATTCAATCCACAACTCTAAATAAATGGCTTAAATATGTTGTATGCCCTATAAACATTTAAAATGTTAACCTTTAGACCCTCAAGAAAATATTGCTTCTTTTGTCTCTTTGCTTTGGAAATGTGTTATATGTGGTTTTCGTTCTTCACTGAAAAAATGCCTCTTTGTAGTCTCCACTTAAGGAAGTAGTGACCACAGACAGTTCTATAAATGGGAGATCAAAATGAAATTGTTTATCTAGGGACTAATGACAAACATTGCTCTATTTACAAGGATTACATATATATATATATATATATTTAACCCAAATAAATAGTATCATTTTTTTTTAAAGAATCTGCATACCTGAGTGGAGCCTTGCAAATCAAAGGAAATTGTTTATCTAGGGACTAATGACAAACATTGCTCTATTTACAAGGATTACATATATATATTTAACCCAAATAAATAGTATCATTTTTTTTAAAGAATCTGCATACCAGAATGGAGCCTTGCAAATCAACTCGAGCAGCGAAAAGTCCTGATGGTTGGAATGTCCTTCGGTGCCAAACCTATAGAAATCAATAAGAAATAAATCTTTCACTTTCTGAAGCAATAAAGAAAACAAACTGAAATCTGCCCATTTTAATTGAAACCCAGCAAAAAAACAGTATTTCAAATGCTTTATTTGCCTGTCGTTTCTTGATTTTCCTACTTTGCTTTCACCTCTTTTAGGCTTACAACATACCTTCTGATCCTAATCTCATAAATTTTCATCAAATAAAATATAAATAAATAACAATTAAGAAACAAAGAAATAGATAGTTAGAAAAACCCGGGCATTTACCTAGTAATTGAAGTGCAATAGTTGTGCTGAACACATTTTCGTAATCGTGTGCCAGAACAGCATTTTCGTAATTGGAAAAGGAAATCACGCATTAAAATGAATAATTTGAATAATCATACAGACCTGACTTCGATAAGCAATCTCTAGCTGTTCAGCAACATCTTCACGAAGTGGTAGCCAATCCAGCCCCCCTTTACGTGCAAACCAATGGCCTCTTAGGACACGTCTGTTTTCTCCGTACCAATAAACAGGGAAACAATGTCTGGAAACCAAGTCTACCTCGTACAGTCCTCCCTTTACAGGGACACCAACCCTCTCTTCTTCTATTTCATAGAGTTGAGATGGTTCAGTACGTCCCAAAAAAGATCCAGTATCTGACTTTGTACTGGAACTTTGCCGTTCTCTTGGGCCTTCACTGCATTCCGCATACTCCCTCCACCAACTAGAAAGCAGTTCTTCCTCTCTCTATCAATCCATATACAAGAAAGAATCTCAATATCTAAAGGTCACAAGATTGATGATTGAAATAAAAGAGCAATACTACGAAATATTAAAGTATACATTTCATAAAATGACCTGCAAGAAAGATGCTTCAATGGCTAGAGAATCTCTCATGCCAAAACGAAAATAGTCACTCTTGCCTACAATCTCTGTTCGTGGGACAGACGCTGCCAACTCTGTTCGAAAAAAATTTATTGTTTACGAATGCGGCGGAGTGGGTAATGAGTAATAACAATCAAGAATGCGTGTCTCCAGAATCCAGATGAATAGAGAGATAGTTACTATTTCTATAAATATAATGTGAGCACTGAATTGAAATTCTAAAACCCTAGCGATGGAATTAGACAGATACCGTTGGGAGCGAGAGGGATCTTACAAAAGTACCACCTAACATCACCGCCATCAGAGGGGCTAGACGTCTGCGCCAGATACTTCTGCCTCGCTTTAGAGTGTTCGATCACATCCTCCAATCTCGCAATGTTAGAAGGCGTGTTTTTCAGTAAGTCAGGCCGAATCTCTTCCCATTCCGCCATCGCCGCCGTGGTTTCCACCGCCAACAAGCAAAGAATCCTTCACTTCTACTCTGCCTCCCCCTCTCTCTTTCTCTCACTGTTCTCTAATAATCAGTATTATAAATACTAAGAATTAGCAAACAAAGGAAAGAAACATCGAAAGACAGAGAGCGATGGCATGCGTTGAACATCAGGTGAATTGAATTCAATGCATTTACACCTTACACCCCGACACCGCTCTACGTATATAACTTTTCCTCCCAACCCCCTTTCCTAACAGAACTCACTCTAAAACAACAACTGTTGAGTATAACTAAAACATAATTAAATTAAATATACTGACAATCTTCCATTAATGTTTTAAACAACCTTTTAATTTAATGACAAACAAAATACTTTTCAATTATTAATGCTATAACGTTCCACTCAAACAAAATATTCGAATGCAAGATATTCAACTGCCATTTTAAAGAAAATAAATATGGAATAATAAAATGTTATCTGTATTTCCAATTTTTAGGTTAACAGACGCCAAAGATATCTGTTTGAATTTCATATATTGTAGATATTGTAAATAATTCTATTTTCAAATTATAATTAACAACTCGTCTCAATTAGTCAAATGCAAAATATAACTAATAAAGAATAAAAGCTGAGACTGCCAAAATAACTAAAATGAAAACTTATTGAAATTTACAAAGAATGTAAAACGAATAAAATATCACTCGTATTATACTTTTTCCATTTAAAAAAAATACTAAAATAAAAATATAACCAAATCATATATATTTATTTATTATTTCTTAAAAAAAGAATAAGGAAGGAACTGCAAAAAATAAAATAAAATAAAGGGAAAAAAGAAAAGTGTTACATTATCGTCGTCCATCGGTTAATCCCTAACTTTTGTCGCTGTCTTTCGACTCGCACACTCTGCCGCCTCCTTTTCGCCGGCGATTTTCTCTGTTCCGACACCGGAATCCTCCCGCCATCACTTCGACCGCAGCCTCCGGTTCGTTCTCATTCTCCATCCCTCCTTCCCTCTTTCTTCATCTTGTTTAATTTCTTGTTCCCTGCACGCGTGATCTATCATTGGTTGCGGTCTGCATTTTGTTATGGAATCAGAAAAGTCTAACACTGTCTCCACTCCACTTGTTCTCGTCGGCGACTTGATTTGAGGTACAGATGAGTTGCTCTTCCGGAACAGTATTATCAGTATGTGCATCACTCTCTTCTCCGCTGCCTCCGTCTCGCACGCCCAATTCCAATTCCAATTTACTTTCGTTTTCATGGCTTTCTTCATTTCCCTCATTAACTTTGAGTGCATCTCGCTCCGCTAAAAACCCTTCCAATCCCTCACGCTCCCAGGTAACAAAAGTCCTCTCCCACTTTTCTATTTTTTACTATTTATTTATTTGTATCTATTAAATACTATCAGAGTTTAATCAAGGAATACGAATCATTGCTCTTCCTCTTCAGCAATCAATATTGTCATGTCCTCTCTCTTCGGTTAACTATTAAATTTAATTTCCCCATTCATAATCTGTCAGTCTGTTGATGTCACAGAAGAAAAGGGTGAGATGAGTTTGGAATTAATACATACATTTTTTTCATCTCTCTGTGAGATACTAAAACTGCTGTAAAAGATAAGAGATGAAGAATGAAAAATTAAAGGATGTAGTGATAGTATTATTTCGTCAACATGAAAATAGTAGAGTCTTCAGCAGTGTTATGATTACAGAAATATTCCAAAACAAGTAACAGATTATAAAATCGGGCGGATGAATTTTCCATCTCCAAGTAAAACTATTTTGATCCCCAGAAAATTCCCTAATTCTCCCTTTGGGTTTCAATTCTCACATTAAATTTTTGTTTTGGCTATTCAAAACTCTGGAGACGATTTTTTTTTTTACTAATAAATAGATACTCAAACTCATTCCATTGTGTTCTTTTTCTCTGTCAAAGCATCCAATTTCTAAATTTTCGTTTGTAATTGAACTTCCCAATGAAATTCTTAGCATTCATAATTATCCACTTTACTTATTTCTCTTGCCTCATCCTTTCTCTCGTACCCGTTCCAATTTATCTTCTGAGTTTGCCCTTACGTTGATTGTATCTGCGTGACAGTCTCCTCCTCTTGGAATGGAGTAATACAACAAGCTTATTTTAGAATATTGTTGTTGTTAGAATTAACCAATGAAAGACATTGTAGAAGGAGCACCCTGAAACTTCTGTTGGGGGTTGTGAATTGTGAAATATGAACATTTGGCATGAAGTAAAACAATTTATGCTCTAAATATTTTTCTCTTAACATGTGTAGGATTCTTTCATTCGAGCTGCCTATACCCGAAGATCTCGTGGTGAAGCTGCAAAGAAGCCAAGCAGGAAATCATGGAAGCAAAGGACAGATATGTACATGAGACCATTCTTGTTAAATGTTTTCTTCTCAAAAAGATTTATTCATGCCAAAGTGGTACACCGTGGAACAAGCAAAGTCATATGTGTTGCTACCACAAACGCTAAGGATCTTCGAAACTCCCTTCCATCCTTGATAGATCATGACGCATGTAGAGTAGTTGGAAGGCTTATTGCCGAGCGATCAATGGAAGCTGATGTATTTGCAGTGGCGTATGAACCCAGAAAGGATGAAAGAATTNATATATATATTTAACCCAAATAAATAGTATCATTTTTTTTAAAGAATCTGCATACCTGAGTGGAGCCTTGCAAATCAAAGGAAATTGTTTATCTAGGGACTAATGACAAACATTGCTCTATTTACAAGGATTACATATATATATTTAACCCAAATAAATAGTATCATTTTTTTTAAAGAATCTGCATACCTGAGTGGAGCCTTGCAAATCAAAGGAAATTGTTTATCTAGGGACTAATGACAAACATTGCTCTATTTACAAGGATTACATATATATATTTAACCCAAATAAATAGTATCATTTTTTTTAAAGAATCTGCATACCTGAGTGGAGCCTTGCAAATCAAAGGAAATTGTTTATCTAGGGACTAATGACAAACATTGCTCTATTTACAAGGATTACATATATATATTTAACCCAAATAAATAGTATCATTTTTTTTAAAGAATCTGCATACCAGAATGGAGCCTTGCAAATCAACTCGAGCAGCGAAAAGTCCTGATGGTTGGAATGTCCTTCGGTGCCAAACCTATAGAAATCAATAAGAAATAAATCTTTCACTTTCTGAAGCAATAAAGAAAACAAACTGAAATCTGCCCATTTTAATTGAAACCCAGCAAAAAAACAGTATTTCAAATGCTTTATTTGCCTGTCGTTTCTTGATTTTCCTACTTTGCTTTCACCTCTTTTAGGCTTACAACATACCTTCTGATCCTAATCTCATAAATTTTCATCAAATAAAATATAAATAAATAACAATTAAGAAACAAAGAAATAGATAGTTAGAAAAACCCGGGCATTTACCTAGTAATTGAAGTGCAATAGTTGTGCTGAACACATTTTCGTAATCGTGTGCCAGAACAGCATTTTCGTAATTGGAAAAGGAAATCACGCATTAAAATGAATAATTTGAATAATCATACAGACCTGACTTCGATAAGCAATCTCTAGCTGTTCAGCAACATCTTCACGAAGTGGTAGCCAATCCAGCCCCCCTTTACGTGCAAACCAATGGCCTCTTAGGACACGTCTGTTTTCTCCGTACCAATAAACAGGGAAACAATGTCTGGAAACCAAGTCTACCTCGTACAGTCCTCCCTTTACAGGGACACCAACCCTCTCTTCTTCTATTTCATAGAGTTGAGATGGTTCAGTACGTCCCAAAAAAGATCCAGTATCTGACTTTGTACTGGAACTTTGCCGTTCTCTTGGGCCTTCACTGCATTCCGCATACTCCCTCCACCAACTAGAAAGCAGTTCTTCCTCTCTCTATCAATCCATATACAAGAAAGAATCTCAATATCTAAAGGTCACAAGATTGATGATTGAAATAAAAGAGCAATACTACGAAATATTAAAGTATACATTTCATAAAATGACCTGCAAGAAAGATGCTTCAATGGCTAGAGAATCTCTCATGCCAAAACGAAAATAGTCACTCTTGCCTACAATCTCTGTTCGTGGGACAGACGCTGCCAACTCTGTTCGAAAAAAATTTATTGTTTACGAATGCGGCGGAGTGGGTAATGAGTAATAACAATCAAGAATGCGTGTCTCCAGAATCCAGATGAATAGAGAGATAGTTACTATTTCTATAAATATAATGTGAGCACTGAATTGAAATTCTAAAACCCTAGCGATGGAATTAGACAGATACCGTTGGGAGCGAGAGGGATCTTACAAAAGTACCACCTAACATCACCGCCATCAGAGGGGCTAGACGTCTGCGCCAGATACTTCTGCCTCGCTTTAGAGTGTTCGATCACATCCTCCAATCTCGCAATGTTAGAAGGCGTGTTTTTCAGTAAGTCAGGCCGAATCTCTTCCCATTCCGCCATCGCCGCCGTGGTTTCCACCGCCAACAAGCAAAGAATCCTTCACTTCTACTCTGCCTCCCCCTCTCTCTTTCTCTCACTGTTCTCTAATAATCAGTATTATAAATACTAAGAATTAGCAAACAAAGGAAAGAAACATCGAAAGACAGAGAGCGATGGCATGCGTTGAACATCAGGTGAATTGAATTCAATGCATTTACACCTTACACCCCGACACCGCTCTACGTATATAACTTTTCCTCCCAACCCCCTTTCCTAACAGAACTCACTCTAAAACAACAACTGTTGAGTATAACTAAAACATAATTAAATTAAATATACTGACAATCTTCCATTAATGTTTTAAACAACCTTTTAATTTAATGACAAACAAAATACTTTTCAATTATTAATGCTATAACGTTCCACTCAAACAAAATATTCGAATGCAAGATATTCAACTGCCATTTTAAAGAAAATAAATATGGAATAATAAAATGTTATCTGTATTTCCAATTTTTAGGTTAACAGACGCCAAAGATATCTGTTTGAATTTCATATATTGTAGATATTGTAAATAATTCTATTTTCAAATTATAATTAACAACTCGTCTCAATTAGTCAAATGCAAAATATAACTAATAAAGAATAAAAGCTGAGACTGCCAAAATAACTAAAATGAAAACTTATTGAAATTTACAAAGAATGTAAAACGAATAAAATATCACTCGTATTATACTTTTTCCATTTAAAAAAAATACTAAAATAAAAATATAACCAAATCATATATATTTATTTATTATTTCTTAAAAAAAGAATAAGGAAGGAACTGCAAAAAATAAAATAAAATAAAGGGAAAAAAGAAAAGTGTTACATTATCGTCGTCCATCGGTTAATCCCTAACTTTTGTCGCTGTCTTTCGACTCGCACACTCTGCCGCCTCCTTTTCGCCGGCGATTTTCTCTGTTCCGACACCGGAATCCTCCAGCCATCACTTCGACCGCAGCCTCCGGTTCGTTCTCATTCTCCATCCCTCCTTCCCTCTTTCTTCATCTTGTTTAATTTCTTGTTCCCTGCACGCGTGATCTATCATTGGTTGCAGTCTGCATTTTGTTATGGAATCAGAAAAGTCTAACACTGTCTCCACTCCACTTGTTCTCGTCGGCGACTTGATTTGAGGTACAGATGAGTTGCTCTTCCGGAACAGTATTATCAGTATGTGCATCACTCTCTTCTCCGCTGCCTCCGTCTCGCACGCCCAATTCCAATTCCAATTTACTTTCGTTTTCATGGCTTTCTTCATTTCCCTCATTAACTTTGAGTGCATCTCGCTCCGCTAAAAACCCTTCCAATCCCTCACGCTCCCAGGTAACAAAAGTCCACTCCCACTTTTCTATTTTTTACTATTTATTTATTTGTATCTATTAAATACTATCAGAGTTTAATCAAGGAATACGAATCATTGCTCTTCCTCTTCAGCAATCAATATTGTCATGTCCTCTCTCTTCGGTTAACTATTAAATTTAATTTCCCCATTCATAATCTGTCAGTCTGTTGATGTCACAGAAGAAAAGGGTGAGATGAGTTTGGAATTAATACATACATTTTTTTCATCTCTCTGTGAGATACTAAAACTGCTGTAAAAGATAAGAGATGAAGAATGAAAAATTAAAGGATGTAGTGATAGTATTATTTCGTCAACATGAAAATAGTAGAGTCTTCAGCAGTGTTATGATTACAGAAATATTCCAAAACAAGTAACAGATTATAAAATCGGGCGGATGAATTTTCCATCTCCAAGTAAAACTATTTTGATCCCCAGAAAATTCCCTAATTCTCCCTTTGGGTTTCAATTCTCACATTAAATTTTTGTTTTGGCTATTCAAAACTCTGGAGACGATTTTTTTTTTTACTAATAAATAGATACTCAAACTCATTCCATTGTGTTCTTTTTCTCTGTCAAAGCATCCAATTTCTAAATTTTCGTTTGTAATTGAACTTCCCAATGAAATTCTTAGCATTCATAATTATCCACTTTACTTATTTATCTTGCCTCATCCTTTCTCTCGTACCCGTTCCAATTTATCTTCTGAGTTTGCCCTTACGTTGATTGTATCTGCGTGACAGTCTCCTCCTCTTGGAATGGAGTAATACAACAAGCTTATTTTAGAATATTGTTGTTGTTAGAATTAACCAATGAAAGACATTGTAGAAGGAGCACCCTGAAACTTCTGTTGGGGGTTGTGAATTGTGAAATATGAACATTTGGCATGAAGTAAAACAATTTATGCTCTAAATATTTTTCTCTTAACATGTGTAGGATTCTTTCATTCGAGCTGCCTATACCCGAAGATCTCGTGGTGAAGCTGCAAAGAAGCCAAGCAGGAAATCATGGAAGCAAAGGACAGATATGTACATGAGACCATTCTTGTTAAATGTTTTCTTCTCAAAAAGATTTATTCATGCCAAAGTGGTACACCGTGGAACAAGCAAAGTCATATGTGTTGCTACCACAAACGCTAAGGATCTTCGAAACTCCCTTCCATCCTTGATAGATCATGACGCATGTAGAGTAGTTGGAAGGCTTATTGCCGAGCGATCAATGGAAGCTGATGTATTTGCAGTGGCGTATGAACCCAGAAAGGATGAAAGAATTGAAGGTAGACTAGGGATCGTTCTTGATACAATTAAGGAAAACGGGATTATTTTTATTTGACCTCATTTTGAACTACTAGTAGTGTAACAGATATTATTTGATTGTTTATGGTTCATTTCTGCATTAATTTGCTAGTTGATGAATTAAAATTTTGTTATTCTTTTGTTAGATATCTATAACAATCTATTACAATATATACAAACAAACGACCACTAAATTTACCCATCCACCCATTTAAATCCTTGACACGTGTTAAATTTTTAGGTTTTTCTGTATAATCACCGCTCTTCTGTCCATTACCCAATCTATATAAGAGTGTAATAGTTTTATTTGAATAAAATTTAATTAAATTATAAATGATTTAATCAAGTTGAATAGAGTGACCCATCAATATCCTCAATAAAATTTAACTCACACTTTAAATAAAAAAACTATAAATCAAATTATGCATTAAAAATCTAACATTGAATATATAATAACATTAAAAAATATATAAAAAATTTACACACATATTACTTTAATATTTTAAATTAAAATTTATGTTTCAATTGATTAAGTTGTTAACATTTACTATGTTAACATTTAAGTATTAGTGACTTTAATTATTGTGCACATAATATATTATACTGGCAAAAAGAGTATATAAATATATGTTTGATTTATACATTTGAAAGATATATGTTTGAATAAAACAAAACAAAAGTACATGAACTTGACATGTTTTTAGGTTACAAACCTATGCAAAACAGAAATAGAATAAATATTTTTGGAAACTATCAAAACAAGTAAGACGAATCTTCAGAAATTTATATCAAGAAAAAAATGGATAATGATAATATTTCCACGGTTAATATTAGAAGATTATGAAACCACTGAACGGTAATTATGTCACTCCAAAAGGTTAAGATGCAATATGAGTACTCTAATGTAGTATTTATTACAATCAAATAGTACATTTATATTTCACTTGAAAATACACAATAGTAAGAAGTTTATAATACGTTTTCAATAAAAAATACACTAAAAACAAATTGTGTAATTGAATCACCCGCAATAATACTAAAAAAATCAAATTAATTAAAACTTGACACGCTTTTAGACAACAAATATAGAGTAAAACAAATAGTCAATACAATTTAAGGAAGAGTTAATTAAAATAATTAAATTAAAAAGTTAATTATAATGAACAGTATTTTTGCATATTCATGAAAAAGCTTTATTTTTTCAAAATATTTCGCATTTTGTAAAAGATTTTTTTTTTCAAAATTGTCTAAAATTTTAATTTATAGATTATATAGATGTACAATACTTTATTCATTTTAAAAAATTATATCATAATATAATTTGTTTATATATATAATAAATAATATATATAATTATTTCATGCTTTTTCACACGTTTCATCCTGATATTTCAAAATAACAAAAAAAAAGTAGTTAGATTTTACGCAATAAATAATTATATTAAAATAAAACACAACGACGTACTAATTAGGTCATTATTTTATATGGAAGTCTGTTATTATTATTATATTTCTTTATCTTTTCTTGAAAGTTCCATCATTAAAAGTACTTTTTAACAAAATTTCATCTCACAATATAAATATTTATTATGTAAAGTATTAATTATAAGACTTAATTGCACTTTTTTGTTCTTTAATTTGGTTGAAAATGAAAAAAAGAAAAAACGTAATTTTTTTTTGTTTGATTGGTTCTTCAATTTTAAAAAATTAACAAATTATAGAATTTCGTTGTATTAATATATTTATACACGTGTTTTAAAATTATCATATATCAAAGTTATTGTCGTGTGCATGTGATAATAATCTTATATATAATATTACAAGGGAGGTGTTACTGTCATATCCATATTTTATTTAGTTTTCATATATAAAATTTTGATTTAATTTTTTTTTAAATTAAAGAACATTGTTTGTATCTAAAATGAGATGAAATTAATAAATTAAACTAAATTGTAACTTATATATATATATATATATATATATATATATATATATATATATATATATATATATAAAAGTTGGAATTAAACTTACTTATTAATTTAATAACACTTTTTAAAAGATAACACTCTTTACTTTTAAACAGAATTAAGTTAAAATTTTATATATAAGACTAAATTAAATATAAATCAAAATTAAAATTAAATTAAGTTAAAATTTTAGATATAAAACTAAATTAAATATAAAACATGGTTACTGACATAATAATAAAACAATATCAATAAAAAATAAAATAAAAACTGATATGTATGTTACTGATGTTTTAACAGAAAAAATCTAATTACATCATTTTTAAAACAAGATAACTTAATTGTTCCAAATAAGGATTATAAGTTTTCTTTTTAATATTTTAAATTAATTAATCGAGAAAAAGAGTAATTAAGTCTATTAAAACATAGTTGAAAATTAATCTGTTTTGCAGTTGAAAAAAAAAATAATCTTATTTGTAAAATTATATATATATATATATATATATATAAATATATATATATAATTTTAATGGTTACCTGATCACTGGTCTGGTTGATAGCAAATCTGGGTCACAAATCGACGACAGGGAACTATGTGCAAAAAAAGAGACCAGACATCTTTTATTTATTTTATTTGTCAAAAATAAAAATAAAAAACTAGGAACTGCACAAATAAAAATAAAAAAGGGAAAATGTGAAAGTGGTTCATAACACATTTTCTCTCGTCCTCTCTCGACTAATCCC